TGTGCACAACTTAAAGGTGCATTACCGCCACCTACTGATCTGGAGTGTGGAGTGAACAGATTTGGTATAAATTATAATATTAAAATAATTCTTTATAATAATATTTAAAAAAGGGAAAACAAAAAATACCACCGCACACATGAAATCTATGACCCATTGCAACTTTTTTATTTTATTTCAGGTATCTATCAACAGGAGACTCATTCCGATCAATAGCTTTCAGCTACAGGGTGGGTTACTGCACAGTGGCAAGAATTGTAAAAGATGTGTGTGAGGCAATATGGTCTGGCATGGTCCAGGAATACATGCCTTTCCCTGAACAACACCACTGGAAGAAGATCGCTGAAGACTTCCATAGGCTATGGAACTTCCCCAACTGCCTGGGAGCAATTGATGGGAAGCATGTTGCAATACAGGCCCCATCATCAACAGGGTCCATGTATTACAATTACAAAGGGAGCTTCTCCATCGTCCTCCTAGCAGTAGTTGATGCCAGGTACCTTTTCCGGATGGTGGATGTGGGGGCATATGGGAAAAGCAGTGATGGTGGGACCCTCTGTGCCTCTGACTTTGGTAAGGCCCTCCACCAGGGGACCCTTGACCTGCCAGAGGATGCACCTTTACCAGGAGCAGAAGACCTCCAACCTGTGCCACATGTATTTGTGGGTGATGAGGCTTTTCCTCTGAAGAAGAACCTTCTCCGACCCTATCCAGGAAAACACCTTGACAGGGAGAAGCGTGTGTTCAATTACCGTCTTTCCCGTGCAAGGAGGATGGTGGAGTGCACATTTGGGATCCTTGCTGCTCAATGGAGACTCTACCACAGAGTGCTTGGTGTCTCACCAAAAGTTGCTGATGCAGTGGTGAAGTCCACTTACATCCTTCACAATTTCCTTCGCTTTGAGGATGCTGGTGAAGTTGTGCCCCCCTGCCATCCCATCAGCAGCTAGCAATGCAGCCCATCCAGCGAGTAGGCAGCAACAACGCCTCTAGGGAATCTGAACAACGGCGTGGAGGAAGGCGTCTCAAAGCCCCAGATAAACTTTAAGAGAAAATGCTCGTCATCGTCTGGCTTATTATTAATTGCCTTCAGGACACAGCGCTGATATTCTGAGATATCTGGCTCAGACTTTCTCTTTGGAGCCAGAGTGCGACGCAAAGGTATTTCAGGTGTGCAGGGTGGTGGCACATCAGGGGAGTCAGGAGATCTAGGCTGTGTGCTGTTGGCCTGGGTTTGGGTCAGTGACAGGGATTGTGCATTCTCATCTGTTGTCTGTGAGAGAAAAATAATAATAATAAAAAAAAAATAAATAGCAATTTATTGATAACATATACTGCTGCTATTACTACTATTAATGATAGCCTAATAATTCCTTTGACAGAAAAAAAAAACGTCAATAATTGCAATTTATTAAACAGATATAGCATCACTGAACCGTAATAAACGCAATACAATGGCAAGTGGAAATATTGGTTTAATTAAGCCATATGTGTTTGAATCAGAAATAAGTTGGTATGCGCAACGTAAGCAAGGAGACTGATGGCTAACTTTGTGAGGTAACATTATCTGTTTGCGCTGGTTCGTACACGGATAATGACTGATAAAACTATGTTTTTACTAGCGGAC